AAAAGAGGGTGTGTTTTCATATATATATATATATATATATATAAACTAAACTAAAGTGTATGTTTTTTTTTTTTAATGTTCGTATATCCTTGCAAATTTATTTATGATATTTTATTGATAAAAAAATGTTGTTAAATTCATACTATTTCTCGCACTACTTCATGGTAGTCTAATTGTCTAAATAACTTGAATGTGCAGTATATGCTTTGGTACTTTTTGTAACTCGGAGTCCCTAGCCTGTCTTATGATTCACTTTTCCAATAGACCCTCTTACTTGAATCCTATGAATGATTCAGAGTAGATGAGGGATCAGAAAAGAAAGAATTAAGACGGAGACAAGACAGACAAAATGAAAAGAACCTGGAGAGCTCATGCGGGGTAAACTTTGTCCAATAGGTCAAAGGTATACATTCGAACAAAATAAGATTGAAACACCTTGAACCCTATATCACGTAAGAATACCCACATAAGCTACCAAGTAACCAAAGAACCAAAAAAATATTTTGTCCTAGAATATTCTTTGGTTAATTACATATCGGGAAGCACCCAAGAATATTCTCGATTAGAGAAGTCCTGCTTACATTTAGGTGACAACTGGTATAAGGTATCACAAAAGAAAATTACCTCATATAAACATCTCGTGGCTTTCAAAACTCTCGTTAAGCCACAGGGCAGACAGTGAATCTCTCATATCCCAAATGGGTAGTGGCTCATCGACACATGAAGCTCGTGAACTAAACTGGTCGACTCGTAGGGCCCGCACTATGCTTCCAAAGCTAACTGAGCCATAAAGATAGAGTGTGAATCACCGTATCTTAAATGGGCAGCGACCTATCCACAATCGGGGCCTATGAGACGACATCAAAGAAGCATCAAAAGGAGTGATAGGGCTCAAAAGTAGGTATAACAAAAGAAGATAGAGTAATCCTAATCAAATAGAGATAGTCGAGTCACGATACCATAAATTCATCATCCCAAGCTGTTAGGAACTCAAGTCTACTTGATCGTAAAGGAGGTCAACCCAACAAAACCGAAGACCTCCTTGTCAGGAATCCGTGAAATGCATCATCCAAGAGGACCTCGGTAGCCCAAAGACCCATAGAAGTAAACTCTAATACTATGACCTCATGTAGGTAGGAAGAGCAAGAGAAAGCCACTGTGGTGAAAAGAGAATAGAGTGTTTTTGTTCTTTTTTTCTTTTTTATTTTTATTTTTAAAGGACTCGTCGGTTGCCCATCGTCCTATACTTCCCTAATATCTTTACCAAACATCACCATTTCTTACTAATGCTTCTTACTTGTGCTAGTTATACCTACCTACTCTAAAGAGTCTATCTTTTCTACCTCTAAAAAGCGCTAAAAAAATAGTATAAAATTAAGATATGAGAAGGGTGCAATTGTATAAAATTAAATATTTTGCTTGATTAGAATACACGACCTAGGCGTAATAATGAAAAATATCTATCATTATTAATTTCTAGCCAACCGTTTAATTATTTTAGATTAATACTTTTTAGTCATCTCATATCAATACTTCAAAATTAACCGTAAAATTTAACGTACAAGAAGGCTTTCGGCAGAGGAGTGAGGATAGGAGGGAGGAACGTAGAGAGGATCGAAGAGAGGAGACGAGAGAATTCCTTACCTGCGGAAAGGTTGTAGCAGCGGAGGCAAGATCGACGCGAAAGAGTAAAGGCAGGG